ACAACTATCACCATACATGTATTTCACATGAAATCCATCGCGCGCATCCTCTTCCCTGCTTTTAAACTCTGTAAATTCTTCAACTTATTTAGAATCTGCTTATCATCTGACAAAGAAATTTTTTCAGCCTGTCTGGAATCATTTGTTTGGGTATCTTTTTTGTCACTTAGTTTGTGTTTTTCCCTCTCTTCGCCGTGATGTCTGTTCTTGCTTTTATGCTTATGCTTGTGTCTCTTCTTCTCCTTATGTTTATGTTTGCGTTTTGACTTGTACTCTTCCTCACTGTCCGATGATTCAGAGTAACGCTTTCTTGCGTCCTTACGTTTGTCTTTCTTAGTACGCCTTGCACTTTCCAAGTCTCCATTGCTATAAGCTCCGTCTCTGTTGTGTTTTACTCTAGAGCGAGGACTTGAAAACTCGATGTTCTGAACGATGGGAGGAGGAGCTGGACCAAATATATCAGGAGATGTTTCCCGTATCTCCGCTTCAAGAGGTTTCACGTTTACAGGCTCGGCTTCAGTAGGCTTGAGTTCTTCTTTGTTATGTTTCACTTTAGACAAGCCTTCATCTAACATTTTCTGTTGAGTAATATGAGAATCTGACTCCTTGTTTACTTCACTATTGTTATTCACAGCCTCTTTATTGCCTGTTTGATCACCCGAAGCCTGGATCGATAAACGTTCAGTATCGTCATCTTCGTCTTCCTCACTCGCTTCGGATTCGTCCGATGACGAATCAGCGAATATCGCTTTAAACAAATCCATTGGTGGTCGCTTGGGAGCAGATATGTCCTCGTTATTTTGTGGTTCTTCAGCGGTTTTCTCTTCTCCTGTACTTTCCAGTACATCAGTTACTCCTACATTAGTTTCTGGTGAGACAGACTTGGTTGTTGACGAAGATTCAGCAGAAGTTCTTGCTACTAACTCAGATGTCACCGACACTGATTCTGAAGTCTTCGGTAACGTGTTACTTATCACGGCAGTTTCAGACCTTTTACCGAGTTTGTCGGATTGGCTATCTTCGCCAGATCTCGTGGACGGGTCGTTAGTTATAGAATGAGGCTTAACTGGCGTTATAAACTCTCCAAGAGTGAACTTAGACCTTCGTACTTTAAGAACACCAACAACATCGGAACCGGGATAAGGGTTCGGAATGTTAAAACGCTTACATAAGATTTTGTGTGGATGCCACTCAAAATTATCGCGAGTTAATTTTCCAAACATTTTCATGCTGGCGGCCTTAATTTGATCTGTTGAGTCTGAAGATTCCTGCGCAGGAACGTCCTCGTAAACAGTTCTGTGGTCGTCTTGATACTGTGCAGTTGTAAATCTCGCCGCCATTGTTGTGTTAAGGGGTCGGTACAACGCAGCAGAGCGCGAAAATTCTTCTTGTTCTCTCTCTCGCTCCCACTCTGTCAGCCCACTGCAGTAAAATAAAAATAATAACAGTAATTTTAAGAATGTCTAAAGTACTTTCTTCTAAGTTTTCTACCAAACGGGGACAAACGCGTTTGGCACCGGACCTGCCGAATGTGGTTGTGATTGCCTCACTGGGAGAGCTATCTCTAATATCAACAGCCAAACACTAAAATAACAACAAAAACAAACAAACAATCCTAACCGAAGTTTGCCTAGTCCCTAGGCTCATTATTCCGCGCGGCCAAAGCGTTTCGGGTCACGTGGTCCAAGCGAAAATGTGAGGGAAAACGCTGTACAGGGACTAGGCAAGAGCGAAATAAGTTCGCGCGCGTTTTTTCGCGCCGGCTACATGAAATATTGCTCCATCTGTTTTTGTGCGTCTCTAGCAGTCTGATCAGGGCAGCACCTCTGCTTACTAAGTAAGCCCTGCCACCAACTGTCTAGGGCACGTTCTTAGCTATAAGCCAAAGCACAAAATACATTTGACTCACCTGTCAATAAGCTTTTGGGAGACCTGTTCTCCTCTCTGCGTCTTCAAAAACTCCTCGTACCTTGCTTGTTTAGNTGCCGAATGTGGTTGTGATTGCCTCACTGGGAGAGCTATCTCTAATATCAACAGCCAAACACTAAAATAACAACAAAAACAAACAAACAATCCTAACCGAAGTTTGCCTAGTCCCTAGGCTCATTATTCCGCGCGGCCAAAGCGTTTCGGGTCACGTGGTCCAAGCGAAAATGTGAGGGAAAACGCTGTACAGGGACTAGGCAAGAGCGAAATAAGTTCGCGCGCGTTTTTTCGCGCCGGCTACATGAAATATTGCTCCATCTGTTTTTGTGCGTCTCTAGCAGTCTGATCAGGGCAGCACCTCTGCTTACTAAGTAAGCCCTGCCACCAACTGTCTAGGGCACGTTCTTAGCTATAAGCCAAAGCACAAAATACATTTGACTCACCTGTCAATAAGCTTTTGGGAGACCTGTTCTCCTCTCTGCGTCTTCAAAAACTCCTCGTACCTTGCTTGTTTAGCTGCATCTTTTGCAAATGGCTTAAAACTACTATGTCCAGACCAGATTCTCGAGGACAAATTGACTGAGGTACTTGACACAGAGCTCACAGCCGTAGGTGGCAAACTGGAAGTAGTGGGTACCACCTCCTTCGAAGACAACAAAATACGTTCTTTGTCCTCTTTAGACATAAACTCAAAAACGGATTTCTTAGGGGTGGGGATTGGTTCTTCACCAAGCATTTCCCCTCTGTCTGAAGCAGTCAAAGACTTTCTTATTTGATTATTTTCTTCTAATTTTGGGGCTGTCACCGTTGTAGCACTGGAAAATGTGTGAGTGCAGTTGAAGTCTCGTGGGACCACAGGTGGAGGAAAGGATTTCATGGCATCCATAGCTTTGGATGTGGCTGTGAAAATTGACAGTGCACCACCTAAAGGCAAATAAATAAGCATTTAAGAGTAAACTTTACAAAGAAAACCACTTTATTTTTAGAGCATTCATCTAGTAAAACTCTACTACTATCCCAAATCCAGCCTTTTGATAGACTGACATACTATCTGTCCGCTTGATAATTAACGGGGAGAAAAAGAAAGTGCTAAAAAGAATAATGCCTATGGAAGCCCACAACTACCAGAGTAGCTGCGAAAACATTGATTTATGTCACCAGTATGGAATTGCTGAAGCTAAAATGAATGAAAACATCTCTCTCACAAAATGTTCTCAAAGGTAGGGAGAATGAGAGAGTACAAGGAGCTGACAACCAAACAAGGTTATGTTGGGTGCAAGTGCGCTTAAACATCAGCTACACTTGGTGTCTAGCCTCGAGCAAGCTCTCTGGGGCACTCTGGAGGCACGGAGGGAAAAGGAAGGAGAGCTTGCAATTACGTCTCTGAAATTTTAATTCCACCTCCAATTCCTCTCTGGCTCCCCGTCGAGTGAGCTGTCAGAATTCCGCCAATCAGTGCGAAGCAGAAACAAGTGTGAATGTAAACACTTAAAAAAGGTAATGACGTCAATACTAGTGTCATCTCCACCAATCAGCATTTCACATCAACTTTTTCGAAGCAGATATTCAAATTCCAGAGACATTATTGCAAGCTCTCCTTCCTTTTCCTACCCCGCCAACAGAGTGCCCTGGAGAGCTTGCTCGCAGGCTACTTGGTATCCTGTGTAATTTGGCAGGCAACTTCCTCCTAAGCACTTCAATGTACCGGTATGTCCCTTTTTCCCTTTGTTATAGCATTCATATCGACTGAGCAGATCATGATGTAGAGGCAGCAAACTTCATCAGTCTAAAAAACAAAACCATCTGATACTCCTTAGGTATGGCACCCCCAACAGCTAGGTGAACCAAATGTACATTTAAAATCCCAGCCTTCCAGATCAATTATGTAATTATTAAAAAATTTATGTCATTAACATGGCATTTCTGCCATTCCAGTGCAGACGTCTCTCCTGAAAAACATTCCTGGTGTGGAGAAGCGAGGCGAGACAGCCGCATTCACAGTCTATTTCTCCATGTTCATCTACTGGGGATGGGTTTTAGCAAAGAGAAATTAAAAGAACTAACCTCTGGCACTTTCTTTAGGGGGACCAGTCCAACCATGCAAACCCGAACTACGATCAGCTGTCAGCTCTGCGTCATAGTTTGACATGTAATCTACTGCATATATGTCATCATCATCCTCTTCAAATGCACCAACACCAAAGGCCTACATGCATAAACAAGCAATAACATTGGAAACCTTTCCTTTTGCATACTCAGAATACTAATATTATGTATCACATTATGACTCTACATGCACAGTACAATAATATTACAGCAAACTACATGTAGTTTGTATATGTGGCCTTGTCTCCCAAAGCATGATTCAAGCTGTACCTCATTACACAGTACATGAAATTTTGGCGACACATTAATTTAGCAATATTTAGCGGGCACTTAAATGTAGTGATTTTCGTAAATTTTGGAACACAAGTCACCTAATTTTTGCACTATCACAAACTGAAACTTTGGTTAATTAAGGTATTCAAAACTTTTACAATGGCAATAGAACATTTATGTGAGAAAAATAATCATAAACATCAATAGCTTCATTTAAATCAAAGTCATACAACCTTCTGACACTTAATTTTGAACGAAACAAACACAACTGCAATAATGTCATATCTTAATGCTGTCCTATCTCATATTGGTTTTAATGTATATTGTCACACAAAGTCAATGATACACATCATAATCGACCAACAAATAGAATACGTGAAGAAATCCACATGTTCCTTGTAAGCTGACCCACATCCTCATAACTTCATAACAAAAGTTTTCAATTTTTGAAACCAAATTACATCAGCTAAGGAAATCTAGTGATTGAGCTAATATGACTGTCAAGAAAAAAGACATGTTACAGGATGACAAAAAGCAGTAATTATTGAGCATTGTGTTGTGCACTTTTGGTCTTAATCATACCTGTGATTTCGAATAGAGCTCATGTACAATTCAGGGGTATTCAAACTGGCCAATTTAAAATTACTTGCTGAATTACTCCCTGAATTGTAGGACACGAAGTCTATTATTAGCTGTGGTCACACTACAGACTTTTTACCTAGGTAAACACGACTTGTTGACAGTTTACCTAGGGAAACTTGATTTTTTAAGTGTGACCGATTTTTCCCTAAGTAACTTACCTTGGGGAAATTTTATCGTCTGGGTCTTGGATATGTCTCGAAAACAATAGAGTTTACCTTGACAGTTACCCCAAAGCAATAGCTAGGGAAAAGTGAAATACCGAGGTTGCTAGCCAATAGACGCTCATCGGCGAAGGTCTTGATGACAGAACCGGACATAGATCACGCTGTAAAGAAATTTTGGGGACACGAGTCGTCTACGTCTTCGCCTTTCTTCATCTTGCACGTTGAATTAGCGTAAGAAATAACAGCGAGATAAAAGAAAAAACGTCTCTTTGATCAGCTAGATCCCTGCACATTTTGCTTTCTTCAATTTACCCTCCAAAGAATCCAACTGGCGTGAAAACTTTGGGAGCCGATATCAGTAGTGTGACCTTCCCAAAATTTTTACCTGGGTAAAACGAAACCCGCGATGAATTTACCTCGGGAGATTTTTGATGAATTTGCCCTAGGTAAATCGGTTTTACCTAGGTAAAAGTCTGTAGTGTGACCACAGCTATTATGAAGTTGGGCTTAACCCTTTAGGTGCCGATAGTAACCAACAATAATTATTTCTCCCAACAATATCCATACATTGTCAAGAGATAAAGTTATGAGAATTAATAAAATGATCACCAAAGAGAAAATGCCATGATCTTTTATCAAATTCTCTAAACTAAATTATTCTTAAAGAAAATGTACGGAGATCAGTTTGGAGAATTTGTATGTGGATATTGGGGCTCAATTAGTTTAATCGTACCTCCCCAGTGATGCCCTTCTTTCCTACTCTGCTTGATACAGGATCAATTCCAAGCCAGTCATCTCGACTGATCAATGCAGTTGATGGATCCAAACCTTTATATCCCAATCCATGCTTGTTGTCTTTTGGAGTAAAGGTAAAGGCATCAATATCTTTTGGAGCAAAGAGAAGACCAACGGCAAAAATATCTTCTTCTTCTTCTTCCTGATTAGGGTCCATTGCTTGGGATGGAAGCCCAGGTGGAAGGGAACAACCATAAACCTGAAGAGAAAGCTATTGTCATGCTTCTTGTGGGTAGTAATAACATGAGAATAACCAGAGTATGGGATTTTAATGATTTTAATTAGGAATGGTTCTTCTGCTATCTGAATTAAAAATTTATGGCTCATCAGCTTTTTGAGGCAATCAGTGCCTCTCTAGTTTTTATTGGATGATAGTTTGAGTGAGCTCAAGACTGCATTAATTACTTTGGTTCACCAAAAAAAAGAATAATAATGATGCAATTTATTTGAGTGTTAATGTATTAAGCACAAAAGTACTAATTGATGGCACTACTTTTACATTTCCTACTGGCGACTGGACAGACGGCTATTTTTTTTCTCAGTTATTTCTGAGTACTTGTCCATCCCCGGGAATCGAACCCTCAACCTTCCGCTCTGTAGTCAAGTGCTCTTCTGACTGAGCTAATCCTGCCACTGTAATTCAATTTATTGAACTTACAAATGCAAGAATAAAACATGAAGAGCGAAAAGTAAAAAACATAATCTCAACATTATAATTACCTTTTTCTTTGATCTTCTCTCACGAGGTCCAATTCCTTGCCCCTCTTTCCAACCCATCTTCTTTAACAGTTCAACACCGACAGACATCTTCACTGGAAGGACAAGATCCTGTAACACAGGTTCTCCAGGAATAACTCTTAGCGCGTCATCCGCTTCTACTACCCGTTTACGGCTTTGAGGCTCTCGGTCTAATACCAAGAACTTTTCCTTTGTAGTGATTCGTTTGGGAGCGATTCCAAACTCTCCAATGTCTTCTTCATCCATAAAATCTTCAGGTCTCTGCGCTCTTTGTTCCATTTTTTTCGATCGTGAAGACACGAAAGTTGAAGGTTGCCATCCTTCTTTCGTGCCAACTGTGTTAAAATAACCAGCTGAAAATCCGCCAGTAAAGGCGCCATGAAATCTCCGTCTTCCTTCAGTATCGGTAACAATTTGTTCATGTATTGGAACAGCCTTTTTACGCGGGGCATCTTCTTCCAGAATTTCGAAAGGAGTTCCAAAACTTGCGAACGTATCTTCATCGCTGTCCGCCATCTTGAAAATTGGCCGCGAACCTTACGCATGATGCGATAAAATAACCGCTGACCCCTCTGTTGATGTCACTGCGCAAGCCCTTCAGGTCCCCTCTTACAGACATCTTTATAACGTAATTGGGGCCGGCCAGTGGGACGCATTCCTTCAGCTTCACTGTCTTCCTTGTTCCAGGGTACCACCCAGAGCTATTTTTGTTAAATGTCTTCACAGGTACCCCAAGCTCATGAGTGAGAATCGTTGGAATGGATGGGGATTTTAGCAATTGTTGATTAAGGTTCTAAACTACACCCTTTTGAAATTACATCAAGACTTCTTAAATTGCCTCCATATCTTATTCATGGTATATGTTCTAAGCATTCTTTTGCGTTATTTCCCCCTATTTTTTAAGCCCTTTCAGCGTGATTCAAGCAAGTTTTAGTTCTACCGTTGCTCTTCTCTGTGAAAAAGAAAAAAATTGAAAAGCGGAATGGGTGACTGTTTGGGCGAGGGTTTAAAGTAGGTTTTGTTTCCTTTTTCATCTTTCCGTTCCATGTTCCCTGATTTAGCCGCATCCAAATTTTTTATCTAAGCAGTGCGGAACCTATTACTGACTCACGGAGACATTTTTTAGTCCCATCATAACAATGTTAATTGTTCTAATTATCGTCAGTGTAAAAAACAACGAGCGGGATATTTTCATACGCAGAAGCAGTGTTCATAAAATCATATTTATCCTTTTAGTTGACGCTTTCAGTTTATCTGTTGCGGATCAATTTAAATTTTTCTTCTCTTCCTCTTAAGACCAGCTATCTTTCTCGCTACCATTAATAAGTTCGTCTAGTCTGTCCAAATTTTGGATGATTTTACGTTTCTGGGAAACTGCCCACCTACCCCTCCCCTAAACCAACTTTAACACCTACTTCTTACTTGGGGCAAAATGTTGGTTTAGGGGAGGGGTAGGTGGGCATTTTCACAGAAACGTAAAATGATCCCAAATTTTTTCTGCGCTTAAGTTAGCCAATTATAAAGTCAGTCAGTTAAAAATAGACATGTTATCCATACAAAGCAAGTGTTTCCAAACAATTTTCTTCTCCCGCCCTAGTATGAAGTCTCTGAATATTAACCCTTTGGTGACGGCCGGCGAGTAGCGAAAAAACCGCATTTTTGACCAATTCCTCTTCTTTGGACTGGTTTTCGGCTAAATAGCATAAGAATGGCTAAAAACGAGTTTTGCAACGAGAAAGGCATATTTTCCGACTAACCTGACGTAATTTAACAGCTTTTTTGCTGTTCCCGCATGCGCCAAAGCCAAAATTTGGCCTCTTTTTGTGGCTGGCTAACTTTTTAGGAAAGGGGCAAATTTAATTTCTAAGAGTAGTATGTAAACAGCGAAATTGGCAGTGGATTTTTCCGCAAAATGTTACCTTTTTTGTGAGTGAACTCTCAGGATTGGTCTGAATATCCAAAAAGAGGTATCGCTGGAAAGATCTATCTTTGCTGACGTTGTTGCTTACCAATTTATTAACTTCAGCTAAAAGCTAAATGGGTCACCGGCAGGGAGGAATGTATATATCGCTCCATAGCCGTCCCAGAGAGGGTTAACAACACTAACTTGCAGACCCTGGGCGTTGGCTATGCATGGAAACTAGTCTTAACAGTAAAGAAACGTAGTTACTTGTCAACAAAAAAAGTTAAGTGATAGCCTGTTCCAGGCGTTCAGATAGTAGAGAGCGGCGCGGCTACTGAAGAGATAACTAAAATAAGCAAGGTCTGGCATTTCAAAGTCGGATTGAAATTGATAACTTAATACAGCTTAAAAACTTTTTTTCCAGAAATAGGGTGACAAAATTTTCTTGGCCAGTTTATGTTGTCCTTATTAAAGGAATTGCGCCTATTAAAAGGTTATTTTCGAAAGTGAAATACAAGGCATCCTGAGCGCCGCTGCATCTAGCCTAACGGCCATGTTCTCGTGAACCTCCCGGCTCTCGCCCCTTTTTTCTTACCTTTCCCTCTTTAGTCCTTTTAGATTGCAAAATATTTTAGCATTGTTGCTTGATTTCCCCCCATTTCTTCTTCCTCCTTCCGCCCTTTTAGAACTGTCACCTGCCGCTCTTTCCTCTACCGCGCGTCACCCCACCTCTTCAGTCCCACCTGTCCACCTCTACTAACCATGGTGAACGCTTGCAACAGTTAACGTAGCTTTCCCTCAAATTTGATGATTTATTCTGAATAAATTTGCGGGGAATTAGTAATTTATTACTATGACCACAAGTACTTTTCTTCGACTAAAGATAGGTCAACCGAGTCCATTCTTATCGTAGGTGCCAGTTGTCTCATGCAAAGTATCCTTTCATCGATCAGTCTTTCCCTGAAAGTGAATAAGATGAATATCAGATTCGGCCAGTGCTGAAGATTACATGCGGCTACAAACCTTTCAGTTGGTTGTCGTCAGTGAGCCACATGGTTGAATTCAGTTAACAAACAGGGTTGTTCGAAACTGAAAGGCAACTTGTGTATTGCAACAAAATTGCCGTATGTATCGATTAAATGACTTAGCTTTCAGGAAACTGAACTATAATCTTCGATCTGGGGCTGCTCAACATAAAATTTCTAGAGTTAAGTTATTTGGACAACAATGAATTTCTGTAACACTAGATCTTAGTTTTACCTTATTCGTCTTCTTTTACATCCCATTTGTATACACTCGTGTCCTGCCTGACTCTCCTTACTTTGTCCTCTAACGTCTCACAGTCTAAGCGAAAGTGGAGTGTTATAAACGCATTACGCTAGAGGTGACATCAACCTATGCAACTACAAAAGTAAGCAAAACGACTGAACCTTCGTCGCTGGGTGAGGACTCAATTGCAAATCCTAATGGTCCCGTCAGTGTGCATGCGGATGCCAAAGCAACCTTTTTGAGTTGAGTTTCCAAATTTTTTCCGTCCGTACACTCGGCCATGTTGTTCACAAAAGCGAGGAAGTGAGCACGGTACCGTTCACGGTCTAGAGGAGCAGGAATTTTGAATATTAAGACATTACTAAAAACAGCCTGAAGCAATAATTTATGATCGCAAATTGTCGCGAAAATTAGTGAAAATTTATAAAGGTATTTCTCCGGTCCTAATCGGCTTGAAGGAACCATGCCCTATTTTACATTCTGTTTATTTATCTGGTCATCTGGCCCGCTTTTTCCAAACAGAGCGATTCTAAAAGTTTTTATGTACTTTAATCGGTTTTAAGGATCGGCTACCTGACTTTGAAATGTAGTATATCGGATTTCTTGTAGTCCTGGATCAGCAATACACTAACAGTAGAACCTGGATATAACTGAAGGGCCTAGGGACTGGAAAATTTTGTTCGCTATAACCAAGTTCTGTTATATCGAGGTTCTTTTTCATATTTTTGACTATCACTGGGGTTAAGAAAATCGTTCCTTATACCGAGGGCTTAGTTACATAGAGGTTCTTTGTACTGAGGTTCCACTGTAGTAATGGTCTCAGGTGGTAAAAGTCATATTAATTTCCCTTTCGTCAAAGGTGATACAAAGCTTGTGAATAATTTAATTGGCTTAAAAAGGTGCAGAGATAACATGGATACTTAGTTTTGACGCGCGTCAAACGTGTTATAACTTTGATGTACAAAACAAACTCCGTCTCTCACCCTCTACCATGGTTCGCCGTTTTGGCGCAACGTTGTCACACTTTTGACGCCCTATCAAAAGTGACCAAATGCTCTGGTTTTCCTTCAGTGAAGTGTACAGAGAGTGGTGGTCAATTTTTCAAAAGTCCTGTGAACCAGTCAGGCCTAAAGTCAAGTTTTAAAATCAAAATCTGTGGGTTTTAAGAGTGTTTTGTTTTATTGTTTCGAGCAACTAAGCGGTGCGCTGCGCGCATTCAAGGATTTGGACCCTGGGGACGAGCGACCCTGACAATGAGCGCGCAAGGAATCAAGGGTATGCGCATAAACAAACGTTGCTTAGTTACAAACTAAGATGGCGGCAAGAACACACGATTCAGTTGGGTTCCATGAATTCTTCGGTTATTCCGCTCCATTTTAAGATTACTAAGAAAGAAATCAGGCTGGTAAGGAAATAACATGACAACTGGGTTTAACTTCTACTTTGAAAGTCAAGGATATGAACCAGAAAATCTGTTAAATTGATGGCAATAATACAGGAGAAAGATTTCTGATGTGCACTTGATCTGGAGACTGCCTAGTTTTTGTTATGTTTTCTGATCCAATTTAATCAAGTTATGATATAATTTTTAAACAAGGAAGGGCTATAAATATGTGGAGGTTGATGGTGCACGGGACGCAAAACACCGGTAAAATAGGATGGGACATAGAATGAAAATGAGGATGCAAATTAATCGTTCAGAGCCTGATCGATAGTAGGTTTAGTAATGCTTTAGGAATTTTAGCTTATTTCAAATTGGTCATTAGAGTACGTGATAAATGCACACTGAAGACTAGCAAGTAAATGAGGTAAAAAATGTTGTGAATCATTCTCAAAGCTCTTCTTATTTCTAAACTTTAAGGCTTGTGAAATTTTTGGAATAGCTTTGATTTTACAAGAATTCTTACCTAGAAGCTTACCCTACCAGTCTGCATATGGGTGTACTTATAAGTGCAGTCTGCATTTGTTGCATACCGGTTTTGATTAGACATCTACTTGTAGGTTCTACAAACAGCAAAGATTTAGTTGTGAGGAATATTATTTTAACCCTTCAAGGCCTCAGAGCAACCAGTGTCCAGTTTCTTCCGACAATGTCAAAAATTTACCAAGAGAAAAGTTTCTAAGAAATTCTTAGAAACTTATCATCAAAGGGAAAATGCTTTGATCTGTTATCCATTTCTCACAACTAATTTTTCAAGGAAATGTATTTAGATTGGTCTGGAGAATTTGTATGTAGATGTTGGGGGCTTATAGGGTTAAAATTATGTGTGAACATCATTTAGGTTGTGTCATTTCACCATGTTATCAAGTCTGGATGCAGTGCACATCTCGGCCGTGTTAGAGGACTGTGTAGATCAGTTGGCAATCCTTGGTCATATCATGCCAAACTCCCTAGAGGGGAGGCCTGAAGCTGCACAGATTGTGGATGATGAGTTGGGACAAATTCTTCAAGACCAAAGGTTCCTTGAGTCTAGATATGAAATGGTAAGATAAATGGTCCACTCAAGTTGATTCTGCTGTGCAAAAAATTCGTCTACTTTCCTTTCAAGATTTCAGGATTAAATCAGAATTGTCCAGTAAATTTTGTGAATGGAAGCTATTGGCACCATATTATACACTTTTTGGAACTAAAAATGCCAGATTTGAAAGTTAAAAAAAATAATAATAATAAAAAATGATGTTGTACATGACACATATGGTATGCATATAATTATGAGATATTATAAATTTTCTTCCTTATTGCCTTATTTCCCTTTCAATTTCTTGCCGGTCTCTTGAAGTCCTTCGTGAGGTTCTGTGATTTACATATTTCTTGTAATTAGTTATTTTTAACTTCAATTTTTTATAATGTGAGACATATACTTTTATTGTAGCTAATGGCAAATAAAGATGATCCCAGTTCTACTAACAAGAGTCAATTAAGGGTGGTGGATGATGGACAGATACAGTCTGTAGCTAAATCGCTGCGAGAGAGTACAAATGGTACGATTGTTGGTAGCTGTAATACCATAGCTGTGGATAGTATTTTTTTGTATTCTGGCCGACAGCTCTATTCATTTTGATTGATTACATGCCATTCACCTGAAACCTCAATGTTCCTCATTTTATCACCATGTTCAGCTGAGTTTTATAGATTTCCAGGTCACAAACACACTTATAAAATATTCTCTCCTCCTTGAAGAGTTGTTCAAAACTCCTAAAATGCAGCCTGTATGTTACCAAATAATGCAACCAAATTTTATTATAATATCTTAGTACACCTAAGCTTGCTAATTAGACTTTTTTCTTCTTTCTTTAATACCTGAACAGCCCTAAACAGAAGTTTCAGACAAAATCCATTGACAAGTGACAGCCTCTCAAAAATTCAAGCAGACAGGTACTGAACATAATTTTCCAGTGATTTAAAACAGTGAAAAAAGGCCCTAAGAGACTCAGTATCTAATACCAAATTCTACTTTTGATTATAGAAGGTAACTGGAAGGAGAATCTAGCATTTTATCAGAAGGCAATAGGGCTTTATTGCAGGCACCCCTTTCAACATTATTTTATGTAGGTTTCAGTTTTAAGAAAAAAGGGGTCTCAAAAAACTTGTTGATTCCCTAGCCTAACTTTTTCATTTGTTCAAGGTAAGACTAAATCGACTTTCTTATATAAACACAAATGAAATACCAGGTGAGCTTTCATGCGAAAACTTGATATCTTCACATGTGAAAATAACATGTTATCTTCATGTGTGAAAATATCACCGTTACTATGGCTACATAATAAATCGCGCCTTTCACACCAAAAAACTACTAAAGTGAAATGGTTTGGTGTTTTATTGGTGTTTATATAATGAATAGAACATAACATGGCTGCTTGGAGATACGAAATTTCTCTTCTTGTGTTGCAAAAATATTTCACTCATTCGCTGCGCTCTTTCATGAAATATTTTTCAACACTCGAAGAGAAATTTCGTATCTCCGCGCAACCATGTAATATCCTCTATGACTGGAATGTTTCACTGCAATTAGAGCTAAAGTATGTGCCATCGAATCACAAACTTTTTAAGAACTAGTATAAATTGTTACAAATACACCTTTGGGTTTGTTTTAAATATTAGGTGAAAGCAATTTACATGTAGGTTACTTTTACAAAACTATAATTTAACCTGCACAGAAAATTTCTTCAAGACATAATGGAAGAAACCTTGGATGAAGTTGTCTCTTGCAAATCATTTGATGCCCTTCTCAGAGCTGTTAATACAGAGAAAGAAAAGAAAGCTGGTCTTCAGCAAACCATACTCAAGTAAGTCGATATTGATGTTTTATAAATGGCAAAATTTGGTTGATGAGCCACTGTTTTAGATTATCTGACAATAATATATTATTTTACTTTGGAGGGAGGACACAACTGCCCCAGGTAGGCACTGGGAAAGGTACCACTCCACCCTCTGCACTTTTTGAGTTGAAGTTTTTACAGAC